TATTGGCATTGGGCGGACGGATTTTCCAGGGGCAACACCGACGGATTCTGTTGGAATGGCTGGCGCAATTTTACTGGACCGCCTACGAGCTGCTCGTATCTAACGCTTCATGTGGATTTTTGCGTCGACATTGGTTGGCGAGCCTGGCACATTTGGATTTTTTTTGGCTCGCCAACCACTAGGTGTGGTCGCTCTGAAAACACTAGAGCAATCCGATTGGACGCCCTTGGATCAGTTGAATTGACTGTCTATATTACTGTTGAGTTGAGACGGGTACACTTTGCGTATAGGGAGAGGCCCTTAAGGATAAATTGCATGGGCGTAAAAGGGGGTCGTATACAAGGCATATGGCGTGTAGTTATAGCGTTTTTTATTGGAGCATTTGGCACAATATCATTGGGTAAAAACTGTACCATATCGGGCTGCAAATTTGCCCACGCTCATCCTTATTTTTTCTACCCAGCTCGGATGGCCAAGTGGGAGTTCCGGATTTCCATTGATTTCAGAATCACTGTTGCCGATTTTCCAGTCAGCATATAGTTCAGAATCTGTGACTGTGACTGTTGCGCTAACTGTGACTACAGTGCACAGAGTCCTAGTAACAGTAACCTAACAACTAAAAACCCGATGCAATTTGAACTCGAATGAAGAGATACATCATACAGTTTACGTAACAGATGAAGACACAGGCTCATTTTGTTTGGGGAGCCACTCATTCGCAACGAGCAGCTCTGATTGGTGGGTTTTCGACAGACATGGAAGGAGGTGGTTGTATTCGCCTGGAAGGGGACGGAATCGCCTCTGGATCACCCGTTCACAGATGGAATCCCCGCAAAAAAGCCCGTTACCGAAAGGAATCGGCCCTACAAATTCGGCTAGCAAGGAATCAAGGGTGGGGGGGGGGGGGGGGGGGGGGGGGAGTTTGGGGGGTGGGTTGGGGTTTTGGCGAAAGGGGGGTTGTGGGGAGGGGGCTGGGGGGGTGGTGGGGGGCGGGGGTGGCTCCCCCCTCCAAATTGCCCAACTACAAGTATGGCCTGTACGGATAAAAAAAAAAAAAAAAAAAAAAAAAAAAACGTACTCGTTGGTAAAGGAATCGCGCGAAATCATTTCCGTAAGCTGGACGGACTCGGAAAGAAATTGCACCGTGGAAAATGAAAACGCTGGAGAATTTACTCTTAATTTCTCTACGGGTAATTACTATGTCTCGAGAGGCCTCGTTCCCGACTAGTCCGCCAGATGGCAGCAGCATGAAGAAAGAAGCCTGTTGCTGACAGGCCTACACAAGTCGCACCGATATCGAGATGGATTCGGCGGTGAAGGTGAGCTACACCGTGAAATTAAAGCCCGCGTCTCATATTTCCTGAGGGGATACGCTTGGTACTGGGTAACGTAGCTGCTCTTTGTGCAAGGGCTCGCCAGTGTTTCTGAACATGGGCTGGGTACACGAAATCAGGACCCGAAAGTGACTCAAAGCAGCAAATTTTGGCGCAAACTCAACACTGGAATTGCAACTGCTTGGGAGTCTTTGAGAACCCAACCCCCACCATCTAGCCCTCAACGTTTCGTGGGCTCAAACCACTAGGTATTACGGGCCCGCAGAAATATGAGACTGGAAGCCTCATCAAAGTTGGACCTTCCAGGATTTCCAAAATTGTCGCAACCCTCGCCCACTCTCTTTCAAAATTTCGCCCGTCGTCCCCCAATCAGACCCTCTCCCACTAAAGGTAATACCTTTGGTTGGTAGGAAATATGAGATGCGGGTTTTAAGACAGGTGAAAGGGGGGATGGGGGAGAGGGGAGGGGTGGGGGGAGGGGGGGGGGGTGGGTGATGGTGGGAAGGAGGGGGGGTGGGGGGGGGGGGGGGTGGGGGTGCGGGACGGGCAGGGGGTGGTAGTACACATGGGGTGGGACGATTCGTTTTTTTGTTTTTGTTTTTTTTTTTTTTTTTTTTTTTCGTTTTGGCATGCTCGCTGATCGGACAGCAGGGTGACCCGTTGCATCCAATGGTCAACTCAACCCCAAACCCGTTTCGATGGGCTCGGGCGGGAGGGGACATGTGCTTCACAAGTGACAGGTTTGCAGTGACATTCACGGGGTGATCTTGCAAGCAAGGCAGTGAATTCTCCACTTTTTTGGAATACCGAGCGGTGCATGTGGGCAAGTTGAAAACTCTTTGTTTTGTTGCCAATGACGTGAGGGGCGCGTCGTGTACTGGAGGGTGCGCTGTGTTGGTCGGAAGAAAGGGCGGGGGGTGGGGGGGGGGGGGGAGGGAGGGAGAGGGGTGGGTTGGGGGTGGTCCCTCTCTCCCTTCAGGTCCGGTCGGGATAGAGGGCAAAGTGGGGCTCGCTTTGCCTCAGATCTGGGCTGGGGACAGCGGGAAGTGGGAGACAGCCTGGCGGTGTGTACACCTTGAGCCTGACAGAGGAACACAACTTTTCAGGGTGCCGGTAGACAAAAACGCGCACGGGTTTCGCACGGCATCGTCACGGGCATGTAGGCCTTTCGCACGGCATGAAGGTTACCATTTTGATGTTTTGCGGGGTAGGTTTGAGTGGCATATTTTGGCGAGCCACTGTTCACTTAGTTACCCTGTGTTAAGTTTCTACGCTTTCAGGCGAGAGTGAGTTTCTCTGGTGTAGCACCAGAGTGGTGGTTGGCGGGTGAGATGTTGAGTGAGTTTTTCTGGTTTGGTTTGCTCCCTTTTATACTCAGTAAAATGGGGCGAGGGTTTGGAGTCGCATTTCAGTTCCAAATGTTACGGGCGTGTTCTAAACATTTCTTACATTACGAATTGAACATTCGTGTCGCAACAATAACTGCTGAGTGGATTGTGGGAATTTGATTTCGAGTCTGTTCCTGGGTTGGCTGTCGGATGTTGAGAACGAACCCTGGCATCAGGACATCGCGACTCCATTTCGTTGCCAAGTCAGCGTTCGTTTTCATGCGGCGACGCTCAAGCCACAAACAAACCCAGCGAGGCGTGTGTACTTTTGCGAGCTCAACGAAAGGCTCGCTGCGCTTCGTCGGAGCACTATTCCGAGCGCGGCTGGAATTTTGTGGCGAAAATGGTTGAGGCGCACATCTTTTGTCTTGTGCCGCATGTTTGTCACCGCTGTTATGATAACAATGCACTGTTGGCTCTGTTCACGGCCCACGTTGAGTGGGCCGTTGCCCGTGTGACAACGCTAATGGGCGATGCTTTCTGATTGGGCCACGTATTGGGCTGGGCCTCCGGTGCGCACCATGTATACACTAACCGAGAAGCTCACGTCTCGCGGCTGGGATTGGAGCACGCAACGCTGCACCGAGTTCTATCGCGACTGTTCCTGAAAATTTGGGATTGCGGCGGCTGCGAATGAAAGGCCTTCGCGGCGACAATCGCACTGCCGTTCACTCTTGATCTTGACCTAGTTCAGCCACCGTCGGGAATTGTACCCTAGAACGTCCCTGTTTCGAATTCGGATCCACTATATATTCCGATCTTGCTGTGGCAGTGCAGTGCATTACCGCATCGCATTGTAGTACCGCATTACCTCGTTCAAACTATCGCATTCACCGTGACGGCCCGTGGCCGGGCCACCGGCATTGACGGCATTGACTGCATTGACGGCTTTGACGGCGGTGTGCGGCATTTGTGCGCGGTGCCAGCTCGGGCGTCGACGAGTCAGCCTGACACGCGGACTACAAGCACGCTGGTCGCGTGGTGTAACGTCTGCGGACGGAGTCACCCTAGAGTGTAGAAACGCATTCCGCTGCGCCTCTGGGTAACCTCGTTTTGACCCAGTGGGTAGCGAGGTATTACACTGGTACCAGAGCTTAGGGTTCGAACCCCGGCTGGACACATTTTCCGCGCACGGCTGAGGTCGTGGCGAGAACTCGAATGTGCGAAAATACAGCTGCGGTTGTATCCAGTCGCGAACCCAGCGAACGATCCTGGTAACCGCTGTGCATCACCAGCGAAGTCGCTGACTTGGTCTACCAGCGAATCTCGAGGTCCTTGTGGGGGCCGACTCCCTGAACCCAACGAGGACGTTGGCACCAGGGGGGGACGAGTTAACGTCTGCGGACGGAATCACCCTAGAGTGTAGAAACGCATTCCGCTGCGCCTCTGGGTAACCTTGTTTTGACCCAGTGGGTAGCGAGGTGTTACACGTGGTCTTGCCGCGGTCACTGCGCGCCGACGAACAGCCCGTGCCGCTGCCTGCCGCGGCGTCGCGGCGGTACTGCTACGAGGCCTTCGGCTCTGACGCGGATTTCCTGCCCGAATGGAGCTCTGAGCTTTCCCCTTGATGAGGTGAATCGCCGCGCGAGGAGATGATGCTCCGCACGCCACCGCGTCTTGCGCCGCCACTGCCGCCGATGGCGGCGCCACCGCCACCGCCGGTGCCTACTGCTGTCGCTGCTGCTGCAGGTTGGATGGTAAAATTTGAGCCTGAGACGTCAAACTTCGATGGGAGGTGTTGGGATGAGCAATGTGCGGCCGCATTGCAGCAGTCGCAGCAGCAGTCGCATCAGCAGAAGCAGCAGCAGCAGCAGCAGCACCAGCAGGAGCAGCAGGAGCAATGTGCCGCCGCATTGCAGCAAGAGCAGCAGCAGCAGCGGCAGCAGGAGAAATGTGCCGCATTGCAGGAAGATCAACAGCAGGAGCAGCAATGTGACAGTGGGTCGCAGTGCGAGCATCACTACCAGCCTCTGACTTGGACCAGCCTGCCGCTCTGCTGCACAAAGCAGTTGGAGCCGCAGCGGCAGCTGTTCCAGCTGCCGCAGCCGCAGCACCAGCACCAGCAGCCGCAGCCGCAGCACCGGCACCAGCAGCCGCAGCCGCAGCACCAGCACCAGCAGCCGCAGCACCAGCAGCAGCAGCAGCCGCAGCCGCAGCAGCAGCAGCAGCAGCAGCACGAGCAGCCGCAGCAGCAACAAACATCGTACTGCGAGCAGCGCAATGGCCGAAACAAGGGGTACAAATGGAAGAAGACGTCGCACAAACGAATAGCGGGTCAGCCTGTGAAGAGGTGAGAAGATCCTCGGCCATGCCGTTATCGCAACGTCTCTCCTGCCATCACCTTTGGTCGGCTCTGGTCTGGTCGGCTCTGGTCAGGTCAGCTCTGTTCCGGTCGACACTTGTCTGGTCGGCTCTGGTCTGATCGGCTCAGCTAGGTCGGTTTGGGTCAGTTTGGGTCGGCTTGGGTCGGCTGAAGAAAACTGATGCGCCTCGCTTGCTCCCTTCCCATCCAGCGTGCCAGGCTTCTGAAGGGTCTCCCCAACCTCTGTGTACGCGTGCGCCCTCTTTCTCCCTCCTCCCCGCAGGCTCTACTTCGTCTGTGCGTCTAAGCACGTCATGGGTTGCCCGGCAAGAAAGATTGAGGATCGAGTGGCTGGCGAGGCCCGTCACCCGCGCCGGCTCAAGCTGACAGGCAGCGTTGGAAAAAATGCAGCCGTGGGGAAAACCACAACTGCCGCAACAGATGCAGCTACAACCAGAGCCAGAGCTACAGCTGCAGCTGCTTCCGAAGCTGCAGCTACAACCGGAGTGGCTGTAGCAGGACGTGCAGAAGAAGTCGACACGGCGTCGGACAGGACAGAGATGCGTGTGGTGGTGCGAGTGGCATATTTTGGCTCGCACAACCACCCACCGCCCGTGTTGGAAGCTTCTAAAGCTCTTCTCTCTGGTCCTTCTGCCATCAGCCTCCTTCCCACATTAACTTGCCCCTCTGCCGCTACAGCCTCCATCTCTGCTACAACCTGCACTCCCGCTACAACCTGTGCTCCCGCTGCAACCTGCGCTCCCGCAACGAACAGCCTTTCCACCCCAACTTCTCCTGCCTTCCTGCCGCCTCTTCCCCTTTCCTTTGCTCCTTTGCCTGCCCCCGCTTCCGCCCCTCTGGCTGTTGACGCACCCCAAGCGGCGTGCTTCCAGACTTCCCACTCTCCGTTGGGGTCCATCCCCGTGGAGCCAACGCACGGGTATCCCGCCGCACCCTCCTGTGATTCTCCTGCTTCGCTGGATTCTGCTCCTGCCGCGCTGGCTTCTGCTCCTGCCGCAGCAGCTGACCACGCCACCTATGCTCCTGCCGCGACAAGCCCCCCGTACAGCAGCCAAGCCTCCTCCCCCCTGCTCCATCGCCTTTCTCCTCTCCCTCCTCTCTCCACTACTCACCCCCCTCCTCTCCCTCCTCTTGCTCCGTCCTTCGCACATTCTTCTGACATCACCAACAGCAACAGCAACATCAACAGCAGGTGCGTTGTCATAAGCCAGTTGCCAGTGGCGGCAGCAGCATCGGCAGTGGCAGCACCAGCAACAGCAAAAGGAAACGCCTGTGCTGACAGCCCAAGGCTGGGCGTGCTGGAACCACATCCACTGCAACAGCAGCAGCAGCAGTACCAACAGCAGCAGCAGCAGCAGCAGCAGCAGCAGCAGCAGCAGCAGCAGCAACAGCAGCATCAGCAGCAGCAGCAGCAGCAGCAGCAGCAGCAGCAGCAGCAGCAGCAGCAGCAGCAGCAGCAGCAGCAGCAGCAGCAGCAGCAGCAGCAGCAGCATCAGGATCAGCAGTATCAGCAGTGTCAGCAGCATCAGCAGCATCAGCAGAAGCAGCATCAGCAGCATCAGCAGCAGCAGCATCAGCAGCATCAGCAGCATCAGCAGCAGCAGCATCAGCAGCATCAGCAGCATCAGCATCGGCAGCATCAGCAGCATCAGCATCAGCAGCATCAGCAGCAGCAGCATCAGCAGCATCAGCAGCAGCAGCATCAGCAGCATCATCAGCAGCATCAGGAGCAGCCCCAGCAACAATACCAGCACCAGCATCATCAGCACTTGCAGCGGCAGGTGCCTGCATCTCTTCTTTGCAGCGAGCAACTACCAATGCACATGACTGGATTTGCTCCCAATGTCACCGCTCACGCTGCAGACCTTACAACTCACTCACCTGACATAACCGCTCATGCTACTGACGTTACAACTCATTCACCTGACGTGACCGCTCATGCTACTGACGTTACAACTCATTCTCCTGATGTAACCGCTCATACAGCTGACCTTACGACTCCTTCCCCTGACTTAACTGCTCACTCTGCTGACATTACAACTCATTCTCCTGATGTAGCCGCTCGCGCTGCTGGCGTTACAACTCTTTCTCCTGATGTAGCAGCTCGCGCTGCTGGCGTTACAACTCATTCTCCTGATGTAACCGCTCACGCTGCTAACCCTGCTCCTACCTCTCAGGGGAGTGACGTTCAACCTCCTGTGGTCCCAACTTTGCAGCGAAGCAACACGTTGCTATGGCCAGCTGATGGTGTTGCCATGTCAGCACGTGATGGCATCGCCACGTCAGCTTGCAATGGTGCTGCCACATCGGCATGTGTAGCCACTGCAACAAATTGCGTTGCCGTGTCAGCATGTTGTGCCGAGGCTGGCCAATATGGGGCCGGCCAACAAGGGGCCGGCCAACAAGAGATGGAGTATGGGCAGAGGTCAGCATCTACTCAATCTCAGGAGAAACCGAGTCAAGGGGTGCAGGAGTACCAACTGCCTTCGTTCAAAGCGTACTTGCAGCAGTGCTACCAGCCGCCACAACAGCAACTGCAGCAGCAAACTGGCTGCTTGGTGGGTGGTGGGGGAAGCAGCAACGGCCGTACCATCAGCTGCCGAGGCTATACAGTGGAGTTTGACACGGAACAGTGCAGCCTGTTTTCTGTACCCCCTATAAGCAGGTTTGACAGTAGCAGTGCTTGCGGCACCAACACCAGCAAGATGCAGTCTGATGGTAGGAGCAGCAGGCTCTCGACTTACTGTAGCAGCACCAGCAGCAGTCTCCCTCAACTGTGCAATCGACTCTGCACTGACAATGGTGTCATTATCAACAGCCGCACGATTGGCCCTATTAACCGGGTAAACCGTATTAACAAGATTAATGGGGTTAATTGGACTGACCAGAGCCACCCTACGGACCCTATAGACGGGCACAACAGCATGGTGAGCAGTGGCAGCAGCATGAGCATCGTAAGTAACATAAGCAGCATCAATGGCTGCTTCATGGATCCATGGCCGGATACCTACACAGCAGCCATCGGACAGCACCTGGAAGCTCCCTCTGCTGCTGGTGTGTGCCTAGATGACCTGTACTTGGTACCAGATGACGTCACCAAGGTCCCGGGCGGCATCGGCAACATGAGGGAGTGCCAAGTCATCATAGGGTTTGGAGATTCAGATCTGATGCACTTGTTTGCTGCGCATGGCTGCGATGACATGGATCTTGTACTGTTTGATTGCTCATGCTAGGTGTTGCTTCAAAGCGGTGTAAAACTGTCGTGACGATACTATGTTAGTAATCTTTTGCATTAGGTTCATGGCTTACCGTATTCCCCCGGATAAAACACCCTAGGGTGGCACTAAATTTTGATGCAAAATTTAGTGGGGGCGTAATTAGTGGCACTTTTTGGACAACACCCGGGGGCTATGGAATGACATTGTTCTGTTATAAAACCACGATTAAGATGTGTCGTCTTGGAGCCGCGTCGTCTGGCGAAAAAAAATCGCCCGTAGCATGTGATTTCACGCCGTAACGTCCTCCCACCCTTCCCATCGCAGCCAGCCCTCCTGCTGCTTGCACGGGTCGCTGTCCATGCTGCCCGCTGCTCGCACTGCTCGCGCTCGCACTGCTCCCTGCCGCTGGCCGCTGTCCCCTGCTCGTGCTGCCCGCTGCCGCCCGCTGATCGCGCTGCCCACTGTCCGCTGCTTGCCGCCCGCTACGCGCCGCCCGCTGCTTGCCGCCCGCTGCTTGCCGCCCGCTGCGCGCCACCCACTGCTAGCTGCCCGCTGCGCGCCGCACACTACTCGCCGCCTGCTGCCCGCCGCCCGCTGCTCGCCGGCTGCCCGCCTGCTGCCCGCCCGCTCGCGCGCGCGCAGCCGCCAGCGCAGCCGCCGCAGCCGCAGTTGCAGCCACGGGAATGGGAAGGATAGAGGACGGATAGGGGAAGGAAAGAGAGGTGGCGAAGGTGAAGGAGAGAGGACGGGAAGGGGAAGGAGAGAGAGGGTGGGAAGGGGAAGGAGAGAGGGCGGGAAGGGGAAGGAGAGAGGGTGGGAAGGGGAAGGATAGAGGGTGGGAAGGGAAGGAGAGAGGGCGGGAAGGGAAGGAGAGAGGTCGGGAAGGGGAAGGAGAGGGCAGGGAGAGGTAGAGAGAAATAAAATGAGGTGAGTGGAGAGGGCAGAGAGAGAGAGAGAGAGAGAGAGAGAGAGAGAGAGAGAGAGAGAGAGAGAGAGAGAGAGAGAGCGAGAGAGAGAGAGAGAGAGAGAGAGAGAGAGAGAGAGAGAGAGAGAGAGAGAGAGAGAGGAGAGAGAGAGAGAGAGAGAGAGAGAGCGAGAGAGAGAGAGAGAGAGAGAGAGAGAGCATGAGTCCCTCCCTAGCTATTTAAACCCTCTCCCTAGCTCATTCTCCTTGTTTAGTTTTCTGCTCTTCATTTTCTCCCACCCTTGGTGGCGGCTAGAGAGAGAGGAGAGAGAGAGCGAGAGAGAGAGAGAGAGCATGAGTCCCTCCCTAGCTATTTAAGCCCTCTCCCTAGCTCATTCTCCTTGTTTAATTTTCTGCTCTTCATTTTCTCCCACCCTTGGTGGCGGCTCGCGTCAGCGGCCTCCGGCCGCGCGTGAGGGGACGGCAAGCGCACAAGGATATAATATCCACTAGGACAACAGCAAGGACACAAATACGGCGCCTACATCCCGCCCACGCTACACTCAGCAGGCCAGCCTGGAGAGCCTCACCGAGCTTACCAGAGCGCTCACGCTGGGGCGCACTTCACCAACAAGGACCTATACACGACGGGAGCCTGTCACGCGACTTGGTCCGCTCCAGCTTCCTCTAGCAGGGCCTTCACGTAGTCCACCAGGAGCATCAGCGCTGACACGGCGCCGCCAACGATGTCTACAGCTGCAGCCAAGTCTACGCTCGCCGATACTCCCCGCATCACGGCGAGCAGGCGCGGGTCCAACACGGTTCCCGGGGCGGGCGCAGGCTGCACTCGCGTTGACACGACAGCCAGATCAGCTGCAGCCATCGCGCAGCGGTGGAGAGGATCATGAGGCATCTTGCACGGGCTCGCTGAGCTCCGTAAAACGGAGTGCGAGTCTGTCAGCATCTCCACAGCATACCCCATCGCCCGCTGCACGTGCCAGAGCCGACGAAGCGTGGCGACTAGGATCGCAGTCTCCGCCAGGCGCTCCCTCCCACGCAGGCCCTCCAGCTGTGCTCTCTGCGGCATCCGCAGCCCAGCCGATCGACGCCGCCCCTGGTCCCCAGGGGGCGAGTCCTCACCCGTGGACTCAGCCCCCCCATCTCCGCTGCTTCTGCCCCCCCCTCAACTCCAGTTGACGACTCCAGCGCGCGACGTGGGGGGACAAATGGCGCCGTCGCCATATCGCCGAAGGACGCTGGCACCACCATTGGCGGCTGACGGCCGGACCAACCCACCACGGATGCCTCCAGGGGCGGCAGCTGCCAGCGTGGCAGAGTCTCCGAGGGCTGCACGTTCATCTGGTGCGGCACCACTCGTGGTTGGTGCGGAAGGAAAGGAGCGGCAGGGGGGAAGTCTGGCGGAGGATGAGTGGACGGAAGAGGCGGTGGAGGCTGTTGTTACGGTGGGAGTAGCGGAAGCGCCGCATTGCGCGGCGGGACCGCCAGCGCTGACATCTGCTGCGGTGGGAGATGCGTTTGTCGCTGATGCACCTGGTGATACTGCTGCGACGCCGGAGGCTGGGGGGGATACTCCATTGGCTGCTGCGGTGGGGCGACAGAGCAGAACAGGCTCTCGAGTGTCGTGGCAGCCCGCCCTAAACGCCTCTCTGCAGCCGATCCGCGGTTACTCCCCCCGCCGGCCCTCCAGCCTTGGTGCTGGCCAGAACGCCCGCGCTGCGCCTGCGGTGTCCGGTGCTGCTGCGCCGGCTGCGCCTGCGGGCGGCGCTGAGGTGTCCCACGGCGGGGAGGGGGCTGTGGCTGGGGCTGCACCTGCGGGCGGCGCTGAGGTGTCCCCCGGCAGGGAGGGGGCTGTGGCTGGGGCTGCTGACCCGCCGCGCTCTGGACGCCGTGCACCACTGGTCCGCGGTCAGGGTCCAGGGCGCGCTCGGGAGTCTTCTCCTCGCGACGCCGCGGGGTGGACGGCCGACTCCCCGACCGCCCGCGCATCCGCTCGGGGGTCTGCTGACGGGCAGGCGAGGGAACGGAGAGCCCGCACTCCCAATCGCGGTTCAACCAGGCTGGGGCCTTGGGGGGGCACACTCTCCCCAGTGCTCTCCATGTCGGCGGAGCGCTCACGCGGGGGCCGGCCCAGCTCGAGCCCCAGTGGCTGGTCCATCAGGAAGAGATGCGCCGCGCTCAGCCACGACCCGACAAGAACGACAGACGGCGGACAGGGCAGCCCCGAGAGGAGTTCGGGGAGGAGGGGGCAGGAGAAACTCTGGGCAAGCAGCACGGGGTCACGGACGCGGGCGAGCCAGGCAAAGCGACCTGTCCTCTGACGGGGGTCCGCTGAACGGTTTCCAGCTCGCAGCCATAGGATTGCAAGGAACTACTAGTGAGGAGGAGCGGGCTGACAGAACTTATGTACCTGGGGAGCAGAGGGAATCTACAACAGACGCGTCTAGTGAGGAGCGAGACGAGGAGACTCACAGGCTCTCCAGAAACGGAACTGCTGTCCCAACTCCCAGATCTGGGGGACGCAGGTCCTGCAGCAGGCGTAATGCCTGTGTACCGCTGGACACCCATCCCCAGTCATTCTCGCAGCTGTCCCCAGAAGAGCTGGCGAGCGACGCCTCTCGATTCGTCGGGATCGCCAGCTGGGACATCGCGATATTATGCGACACCCCCCAACCCCCACTCTCCCGCCGGTTACCTCCCCAAATTCGTCAAATTTTCGCGCTCGCCCTGCTGACACCCGTCCTTTTCTTCGTAAAAAATCCAACCTCCACGGAGGGTTGGATCTTGTTACTTTTTCTCCCGCGTCTCACCCTTTGCCTACCATTACCAAGACGTCCTGATTGGCCCGCGGCAGAAAAATGCCTCCGACAATTCCTCGCGGGCCAGTGGGACGCTCTGTACCACTCGGGCCAGCGAGCGCGGGGCCAACGATCTACAACGGCTAGGGCGGGCAAGGGTGGCTAGGGCGGGCTAGGGCGGCTAGGGCGAGCTAGGGCGGCTAGGGCGGAAGCACGGATGGGCGGACCTAACCTAGCTGATACCATATCAGAGTAATCGAATGACTACAATGAAGGCATACAAGGGAATATATGGTTGGGTGTTGTACATAATTCTATTACCGTAAGCATCCGCATTTTTGAGCCTAGGGTGTAATCTCATATACTAGTGGATTTTGGGGGTGAGTCTTATATGGATACCTAAAAAATATGTACCCAGATTATATCTCGTACGCACGTGGAATACAAATTTCTGCATATAGTTTTGTTCCTCGTTTACATTCCTGACTCATTGTCGAGTATTCAGGCCCATTCTAAGCCTTTTCAGTATAAAATGTAAAATGCGAATCTGATTGGTTTGACCTTTGTGCTTCCCAATCGAAATGGCCATTTCATATCGCGAGAAAATCCTAGAGAAACCAAATCGAAAGTGATAGTTTATCGACGGTCAAGATTTTGTCTTCAACCCTTACACGGCAGCATAACAAGTTCACGACTGTAAGAACGCACTTGACTTCGTCCTGATTGGACGGCATTCAGAGCGATCGAGCCCTCGCCCCCAACCCTTACCCATTTCTTTCTGGTTTCCCCTTCTAACATTTCCTTAGTGTAAGGAATTACCATTCCTTACTAGGGCTTGCCACAGCGAGTACACGCAAACCTCTCGGTTCCGCAGGCTTGGCCCTCAAGTCACGCGCCAAACCAGCCCCCGTCGACCTTTTCGGCCCCAACCTCATCCCGAGTCGCCCCGAACCCATTTTGATCCCGTCACCCCTGGGACTATCGAGCCCTTGACTGGTCCAACCCTCGACATTCGGCCCTGGTCAACAAACCTACATATTGCCTAGGCCTCATTATTCTGGACAACTCTGTAATCACGTTCGCCTATAGTATTATGCGCTATACTCTGAGTTATAACTCATAGGGGGTGTGTAAATTTGGAACAGAAGCTCCGCTTCGCTCCCAGACTCCTTCTTTTTTCTGCCCGGTCGGTTTTTTCCCGAAGCAACACAAGTTTGGAGACTACACCACCAGGACGAAACCAATGCACCTGAAATTTCAAAATCTCGTATTTCGGGATTGTAACTAGCGAGGGCAATGTCTCGCAATTTTTGCCTGCGCGAGAAACAACCTTGGTGCTCTGGCGACTTGCG